TGTTCTGTTGTATATAGGGTCACTATGAGTCGGTACTGACTCACTGGCACCTAACAACAACAACATAAAACAGTACATTATGAGGGAGCTTCAAAAACTTAGTGGGAATTTCCACTATCTTTTATTTCTATTTTTCCATGGTCTTTTTGAGGAGTCCTAGTGTGGCGCTGTGGGTTAATGGGCTGGACTGCAAGGTCAGTTTGAACTGCAAGGTCAGCGGTTCAAGCTCACCAGCCACTTCTTTGGAAACCCTGCACAGGGTCACTGTGAGTCAGAACCAACTTTATGGCACTTAACAACAACAACAACATGGTCTGTTTGAAACCCACTCATGTGTATGAGGTTAAGTCAAAAAGTATTGCTACTAGGGTTCCAGTTCATACATGCAGGGTTTATTCCAAACAAAATGGATTTAAACATATCTGTGTGGCCCGTGGGTGATGGTAGACAAGTTTTCAGTAATATCAGTTTACTTGTCTTAGTCTCATGAACAAACCAACACGCGGCCGTACAGTCTATTTTGACTCATTGTTAAGTGCCTTGAGTCGCTGTTGAATCATAGCAACCCTGTGTAGAGCTTCAGAGTCTGTAAACCTTTTTGGAAACAGATAGCCTCAGCTTTCTTTCTCCCTCAGAGTAATTGCGGGTTGGAACCACTGACCTTGTGGTTAGCAGTCCGAGTGTAACACAGCTCCATTGTTGTTAGGTGTCCTCCATTCTTTTCTGACCGTATTGTTAGGTGCCCTCCAGTCCTTTCTGACCATCTGTGCAATAGTACGAAACATTGTCTGGTCCTGCGCCAGTCTCACAATCGTTGTTATACTTGAGCCATTGCTGCTGCCACCGTGCCAATCGCTGGAGGTCTTCCTCTTTCTTACTGACCCTCCACTTTGCCAAGCATGATGTTGTCCAGGGACTTGGTCCTTCCTGTCACATTTGCACCGCTATTAGGCTTCATTTGTTGTTGTTGTTAAGTGCCTTCGAGTCAATTCCGATCCATAGCGACCCTGTATAGGGTTTCCGAGGAGCAGCTAGTGAGTTTGAGCAGCCAGGGTGCTTTAAAAAAATGTCCAATCAAAACAGTGGCTTCCAAGGGCATCTGCTGGGCCAGTTAAATTCAAGGCAGAGAGGGTAGCTCAGAAGGTTTTGTCAACTGTTTGGGGGGATTCCAAAAGGTAATCTTGATAAATTTTTCTCTAAGAGCACAAGCCAATCACAGGTGCTTATTATGAAGTTGTTTAAGGAAAACTGAACACGGTGAAAGTTAGAAAAAGGCCAGGAAAGCCATGCTGAGGAATTGTTTTCCATTGTGACAATATATCTGCTCCTTTTTCAAAGGTAGCAAGGGTTTTTTAATCAAGTGTTGTTGGGAAACCGCCTCTTCAGACTTCTTTTTTGTTTCCTAAACTCAAAGAATATTTAAAAGGAGCATGATCTGAATCCCTCAAGGATGCCAAAACTTCCATTTGAAGTGGTGTAAACTGAAGAGCACAGAATTCTTTGTGAAGGGTTAGGGAGACGGAAACACTGTCTTCAGAAGCATATGGACCTAGATCAAGGGCATGTTGAGAAAGAATAGCTTCATGTTTTGATATTTTTGTTTTATAAAGGTTTCTATGATATATAGCAATACTTTTTAACTTACCCTTGTATATACAAAAAGTTCTCTGTCAAATTTCATTATCTTTTAATTCCACTTTTCCATGAACTTTGTGAAGCCCCCTGTAATATTATGGATTGAATTGTGCCCCTCCAAAACATGTATCAACTTGGCTGGGCCAGAATTCTCAGTATTATGCAATTATCGTCCGTTTTGTGATCAGATGCAATTATCTTATGTGTTATAACATCTCTGGTGTTAATGATGCAAGATGAGAGGCTCTTATGTTAATAAGGTGGAGTTCTGGTGTGGCGCTGTGGGTTAATCCACCACACTGCAAAGCCATTTGAATGGTAAGGTCTGCAGTTCAAGCTCACCAGCTGCTCCTCAGAAACCCTATACAGGGTCGTTATGGACTCAATGGTACTTAACCCACAACAATGACAGTGTTAATAAGGCAGGAAGCAATCTACAGGATTGGATTTAATTGAGTCAATCATTTCTGATTAAAAGGATTAAACAAGTGAGCAGAGACTACTATCACCAGGAAAGAAGAGCCTGGAGTGGAGCACAGCCTTTGGACACAGAGTCCCTGTGATTGGAACCTCCTGAAACCAGAGACACACAGGACAAGACGTCTCCTCCTAGTGCTGGGACTCCGAATTCAGACTTCTAGCCAACTCAACTGAGAGGGAGTCAATTTCTGCTTGTTAAAACCTTGGGGTACTTTTGTTAAGAGTTGGTTGTTGGTTGTTATGTGCCATGGAATCGGTTCTGAGTCGTAGCGACCCTGTACAGGGTTTCCGAGGCTGTAAATCTTTACGAGAGCAGAAAGCCTCATCTTTCTCCCACGGAGCAGCTGGTAGTTTCGAACTACTGGCCTTGCGGTTCATAGCCTGATTCGTAACCACTATGCTACCAGAGCTCCTTTAGAGCAGAACTAGATAACTAAGACACATATTAGCACACACATGAAATGCCAACAGAGTTGATCTCTGTCAAGTTTTGACAATATGTAACTTATTTTCTTTACAAGTTGGTTATTAAATTTGTATGAAAGCATAAATGTGCAAAAATAGACAAGAAAATTTAATTAAAAACTGGGGATATGCCTGCTATAAAAATATACCAGAAAAGATGGCAATTTAAAGCATGAAATGAATACATAGCTAGATAAATAAATGGAACAGATTTCTGAAACCCCCACATATGTACAAATAAGCAAAAGTCATAATGGAAAAAATATGGATTAAACTAATTTATTTTGAAAAATCTGTAATTTTATTGTAAAATCAATATATGCTATTTGTCTGCAGAAAAAGATTAAACACTACAAAATAAAATATTAATCTGTCATAAATGCTGGTAACAAGCAATATTAGGCTTAGTGTATATTTTTTCCAGATATTTTTTTCTAAGAATATGCAAACTTATTTCCCTCTCATATCCACAAAACAGAAATTACTTTCTATTTAATAATTATAAATTATAACTATAAAAATAAATTAAAAAGACTTTCCAGTTTCATTTTGAAGAAAATAAATTAGAAAAGCTACTCAAAGATAAAATAGCATAAAAATACAGTAGAAAGACATAGGGCAAACAAAAATGTGCAAAAAAAATATTAAAAATAGAATGTTAATTAATTATATGCAAGTCATATCAGTTAAAAGTATATATTTTTAAAATGTTTTTTGGGGAAAACAGATCACTTTAGTTAATAGGAAGTTTCTCCAAGAGGTTGGATAGCATGGCAACTAGAACAGGAGTGCTGAGCTCCAGGGGTCCAAGCCCCACCCAAACCTAAACCCACCAGGAAGCTAGGGAGTTGATTCTGTCTCATGGCCATTCCACATGTTAGAGTAGAAATGAACTCCATCGGATTTTCTTGACTGTAAATTTTATAGAAAATGATTTCCTTTCTTCTGCACTGCCATTTTTGGATATGAACTGCCAACCTTTAGGTTAACAGATAATTGTGCCAACTAGGGACCTTCAAGACCCATGCACAGGATTAAAGGGGAGGCAGCTTTAGACAAGGCTTTTAAGTTACCTTTCATAGAGATAAATCTTGGAGTCATCTTTAAGGCCTTGAGGCCATCTTCAGGGCAGAGAGAGACGCTGGTGGTGTTTTTTGTTTATTAGTTTTGTGTTTCTTTAATTTAAAACCTGATTCTAGGCCTCCCCAGCTCAAAAACCTTAAAAATTCTTCAATTTGTTCCTGAATTAGAGTCCTTGGGTGGTGCAAATGATAAACTAACCTTCTTAGCTGCTAACCAAAAGGTTGGTTGGAGGTTTCGGTTTACCCATAGGTAACTTGGAAGAAATGCTTGAATTTTAAAAAGTCAGCCACTGTAAACTCTATGAAGCACAATTCTACACTGACACACATGGACACACCATGAATCAGAACGCACTACCTAGCAAATGTTTTGTTGTTGCTCCTGAATCAAGATCCCATAACCCTTGTTTAGGGGATAGGATTCTCCCCAGGCTTTCCTGAACCTCCCACTCTCCTCCTCGTCCCATTGCCCCCGTCTGTGCACTCCAGGAAGGGATCTTGTACTGTACTCCTTATCTACACTGACAAGGTTGTCTTGTTCCCTGTTGTGCACTCTCCAGTCCCACAGGCCAACTGGATTTCCTATTATAAGCTCAAACAGGTCTTCAGCAGCCATTTGGTCTTCTTTAGGCTGAGAGTGTAACTTAAGTCAATTGGGTCCCAGTTTATCTATGAGGAATTTGAACACAGATTGGCATAGACTGTATTTAAACATGATGTTCGGGGTCCTGGATGCTTTGAAGGCAGGGATACCTTTTTCTGAATCTCCTTTCCAACATCTCCCATCACCATCCCCACACCACAAACTGGCACATAGTAGACACGCAACAGACGGTGGTTGAATTGACATAGTAAATTTGTGACTTTGAACTAGTTCCTGGCACTTAGAGGCCTTCAGTAAATAGTTATTTAGTTTAACTGTTTGTTATTACCAGCAATTTCATAACGTTCTTGAGGGCAGGAAATGTTTAGTGTAGAAAGATAAAACAATAACTCATTAATTTAACAACTATTTTTCAGTCATTATATGCAAAAGTGGAAAAATTGAGGAAAGTGCGGTCATGCCCCGGTTCCAAACAAGTCAAAGACATCTTTTTACCTTTTCATTGGCTGTCGAGGATCCTCCCTCCTGTGACCTAACCAATTTACGACGCGTACAGGGAGCCGCGCAGTCCGCAGCCAGCCAATCAAAAGCGCCAGAGGAAGGGGGCGGGGCGTGATGTGGAAGCGGATTGTCGCCCAGCGAAAAATGTCGCGGTTGGGGCTGTCCTGTGGCAGAGGTAGTACGGAGATCGGGCCGGGGCGAGCCGAGCCCTCCCACCTCTGACACTTACAACTATGGACGACGAGCAGCCTGACAGCCTGGAGGGCTGGGTGCCGGTCCGCGAGGACCTCTTCTCTGAGCTCGAGCGGCACCAGTTGCGCTTTCTTGTGGCCTGGAACGACGCCGAGGGCAAGTTCGCTGTGACTTGTCACGATCGTACAGCGCAGCGGCGGCGACGGCGCGAGGGGAGCCAGCCAGGCTCCGAGCCGGGCTCCGAGCGTGAGACTGCCATGCCTCTGCCCAGCTGGGCCGGCCTGCTCTCTGCGGCTGGCTTCCGCGGCGCGCACCAGCAGCTGGCGGCGCTGTGGCCACCGCTGGAGCGCTGCTTTCCGCGGCTGCCGCAGGAGCTGGACGCGGGCAGCGGCTGGGCCTGGGGCCTGGGGCTGTGGGCGTTGGTGTGGCCGACACGCGCGGGCCCCGGCGAGGCGGCGCTGCAAGAGCTCTGCCGGCAGCTGGAACGCTACCTGAGCGAAGCGGCCGACTACTGTGGCGGCGCCACCGTGCGCGACGCGCTGTTTCCGGCCGAGGACGCTGCCGCCGACTGCGAGAGTCCGCGCGAGTTCCGCGAGCGGGCCCTACGCGCGCGCTGGGCCGAGGCGGGCGCGCGCCTGAGCCAGGTATTAGGGCAGGGCAGGGTTTCCTTGTTTTTGCCCTGCATCTCTTCCGAGAGAAGGACAAGTGTTAAATAAGGTTTTTCCCAGAGACTGGTTCTGAAACCGGCCAAGTGAAACAATCCGAAGTGGAGGGAAAGCTGAGGGTTAACAGATGACCTTCTCGTGTAAGGGAGCAGCTAGGGGAATTCTGCGGGACCTCTCCAGAGCCCTAAGGAGAGGATATATTAAGTTAAATCAAAGTTTCTTGGCAGTTAGAAGTCAGGACAAGCACCTTCAGCCTTTCCCAGGGAGATATTGGCAGAGAAGGCTGTTATGATGGGAAATGCAGGACAATAATTGAAAGCAAAACTGAAAACGTTCCATACAGAGCGAGAATCATAACATTGGGAAAGTGTAATCAATTCCAACTGCTGAGGACGAAGGAAGACCAGTAATGGAGACAAAATGTTATAGAGGATGAAGGGGCTTCTAGGAAACAGGTTTGTTTTTAAACAGTAAAGTCTTCAAAAGCAAAGCCAACAGGAAGTGAGATTTATTCATGAATTTGGAATAGCAACAAGTGTGCCCTTTAATCTTGAAACAGGTACCTGAAAACATTGCAACAATTAAATATTTGAGCGGTAAATTTATAGAGCTGGGTAGTGCTGTAGGATAAGCAGTGGTCGATGGTTCAAACTCACCAGCCGCTCCTTGGAAAGCCTCCCTATACAGGGTCTCTATGAACCGGAACAAACTCGAGGGCACTTAATAACAACAAAGGAAAGAGGAAATACAAGTCCTTACCCGAATTGTCAGAGCAAACTGGAGCTTCTGTTAAAATTAAAAAGCTTATTGAAGGAACAGAGTATCCAAAATTGGGCAGCACTTTGTGAGGATCACCAAAGTATAGCGGCGACAATAGTTTTTCATGGAGCTGAAATATAAACGATCTAGAAACTTACAAGAAAAAAAATTCTGATTGGTTGACGTTTACACCAGTGTGGCAAGACCACTTAAATATGACTTTGCTAATAAAGTCGGAGTCATTTAACAGTTTTAAATCTATGGGTATTTTGAGGGCCAGCCTGAGTGGCCACTCTTCCTGGGCTCTTGCTATGCAGGAGGAGGGAGGAGGGGAGCCTGCTGGCTTCATGAAGTATGCTGGCTAGCTGACCTTTGAAGGTCAGCACGGAATAAGCAGCAAACAGCAAAAATGGCTTGCATCTTTTGCAGAAGCCTTGCTTTAAGCCAAGTGCTTGATTCTTTCGAGTTCCTTCACAGAGTATAGGAGAAAACATGGCCTGTATGTCCTCAGTTTAATAAGGAGAACCAAGATTTTGAGTTTTGTGCTATCCTCTGAACATGTTCTCTTGCCCTTTCTCATTATAGGCCATTATTAACCGGAATAATTTTTTTTTAAGCTTTTATTGTGAGTTGAGTGAAGATTTACAGAGTAGATCATCAGTTTTACATTCAAAAACCCATGTGCTTTGTGTCATTAACAATAATTGCACTCCCCTCCATGTACCATCAGTAACAGTATTTTCCTCTGTTAATCTGAATAATTTTTTGTAATCTGTGTATTACATTTATGTATTCTTCTGAGGAAGAGAAGGTGTAAGAGAAGAATTTAGTCACATTTCAGAATCTAAATTATAATGTCTCAAGCTAAACACAGAATGTGCTTTCAAAATTATATTCGTTTTAAAAAAGGAGTTAAAACAGTAAAGCAAAAGGAGTTTTGTTAGTGGTGCCATTTTATGCTGTGAGGTTTATGAATGAGTATGTACATTCCTCATGTTGATTGCTGTGTTGATTCCACTGCACTATGATGAAACCTTGGGAGAATTTCAAGTCAGTCAACTTTTGATCTTCAACTTTAGCATTTGTATTAACTCTGTGTTTTAGACATTTGATGTTTCACAGAAATGGTTTCCACTTAAACTATAACATAGTTACTATTGTAAAAGTATGATTGTTGTTGTTAAGTGCCGTCGAGTCGGTTCCGACCCATAGCGACCCTGTACAGGGTTTCCGAGGGTATAAATCCTTACGGGAGTAGAAAGCCTCAT